CACCATAGATTTCCAATATTCGCACAAGCTGCTGCACCTCATTGGCTCTAGCTTTACAAAACATCAAGGAATCATCTGCAAAAAAGAGGTGAGACAACCTAGGAGCTCCTTTAGCAATTTTTAGACTAGTCATTTTCCCCGTCCTGTTGGCCTGATTTAATAGAGTAGAAAAGCCTTCAGCACATATCAGAAAAAGATAAGGAGAAAGGGGATCCCCCTGTCTTAACCCTCTAGTTGGTTTAATATACCCTCTCTTCTCACCATTGATATTAATAGAGTAAGTAACACTAGAAACACACTCCATGATCCACTGAATCCATTTTGGACAAAAACCCATCTTCTGCATTACTTTAGCCAAAAAAACCCATTCTACTCTATCATACGCCTTAGACATGTCTAGTTTGATAGCTACAAAATCATCTTTTCCAGTTCGTTTATTCTTAAGAAAGTGAATGGCCTCATGAGCAAGAAGAACATTATCCAGAATTTGCCTCCCAGGCACAAAAGCAGACTGAGAGGGACTAATACAAAGACTAAGCATATTTTTGAATCTGTTAATCAGAACTTTGGAAATGACCTTATAAATGACGTTGCATAAGCTAATAGGTCTAAAATCAGTAATCAAATTTGGGGCATCAATTTTGGGGATGAGACTAATCATAGTTTCATTGATAGACTTAAGAAGATGACCAGAATGAAAGAAGCTTTGGACTGCCAGAACCACATCCTCCCTAATAATATCCCAAAACTTTTGGAAAAAGACAGGGGACATACCGTCTGGTCCAGGGGACTTGTTAGGGTGCATGGAATAGACAGCCGAGCTGATCTCTTGTTCTGAGACTGGCCTTATCAGCATCCTGTTCATATCAGCAGATATAGTCGGTAAGATCCCCTCCAAGATGTCATTGAATCCACAAGGATGATCTGATGTAAACAGCTGTTGGAAGTACTCCACCACTTCCCTACTGATCTCCTCCTCATTACTACACCAGTCCCCATTCCTCCCCTTCAGCCCATTGATCTTATTCTGCCTTCTTCGACTTATCACGCTAGCATGGAAAAAGCTAGTGTTCTTATCACCCTCCTTGAGCCACTGAGCTTTAACCTTTTGACTCCAATAAATCTCCTCCCTTTTATAAGCATCTGCTAATTTCCTTTTAAGTCCAGCCACCTTGGTTTTCCACCCACTTGAACTACTCTCCCTTACTGCTTTAATTTCCTCTTTAATCTGGTCAATGCATCTCTTCGAGTTCATATTTAAATTTTTACTCCAACTTAGAAGATTCATTCGAACCTGTTTTATTTTATCAACCACCTTAAATAAACGTGATCCCTGCTGACTGGTCTTCCACGCATCCTTTATAACCTCTCCAATGTCTTCCTGTAACAGCCACCTTCTATCAAACATAAACCTCCTCTTCCTTATCCTTCTAGCAGGAGAAGTGTCTAAGAGTAGTGCACAGTGATCCGAAGCTTCAGTCTCAATATGACTACACTTAGCCCCTTCGAAATTAGCACACCATTGTTTAGTCCCCAAAATCCTATCGATTCGCTCCTTGACCTCCCCCTTTTTTCCCCAATTATTACACCAACTCCAAGGTACCCCCTCAAACCCAATATCAAGCAGCTCGTTATTATTAATAAAATTGTTGAAGTTACAAAACTACTCTCAGGCCTGACCCTACCCTTCCATTTTTCCCCATTAGATTTTATATCATTTAAATCTCCCAAAATTACCCAACAATTACCCCAAATGCTCTTCCTCCTCTCAATAACATTCCACTGCTACTCCCTTACTCTATCATCAGTACTAGCATAAGTGCATATACACCACCAATCCCTTTGCCCTTCACAACCAGCAATAAGTAATTCAATAGTAAAACTCGTAAATAGGATAGTTTTCACCTGGATTTCCTTCTTCCAGATAACTGCCAAGCCCCCCGCTATGCCCACTGGATCCACTACAAAAAGATGGTCGAATTTCACCCATTGCTTAACACTATTCATATAGCTCTTCTTTTTTTTTGTCTCTGACAAAAACACCAACAAAGGGGAGTGGAACTTAATCATTTCCTTAAGTTAGGGAATCGTCAAGGGGCTCCCCGCACCTCGACAATTCCACACCAGAGCTCTCATTTAAGCTTGGGAGCCCCATTAAGGGAGGGCTCCACCACCTCAGTAGTCATGATCAGGTCCATAGCCATTTCAGTCATCCTAACCTTTTTTCCCCTTCCCAACCCCCTCTGTCCTTCCTCCTTTTCCCCTATACTCACTCCCTGCTTCCTTTTTCCCTTCTCTAGCTCTTCCTTAATGTTAGTCCTATTGCCAAGGGGCTTCTTCTTACTTACCTCTTTCACCAGTCTCCTCCATGTTTTATTTGCTCTTTGAAATCCTGCACTATTCCCCCTCGCCTTAGCTGTACTCTTGCTTCCTTCCCTCGCAGCCAAGATGTAGTCCTGATCTTGCACAGGCACCTCTCTCAACCCACTCTCAACCTCTCTTTTGTCTCCCTCATCAATCCACATCACGTCTGTATGACTACTACCCCTACCAGCCTCCCGCTCCTCCACCTTCGGAGGATACTCTTCCTCTCTAACTTCCCTATCTCTCAGCAATTGCCCCCTACACTAGATTCCTCCTTGCTCCCTCCCTCCCCCCTTGCTTCCCCTCCCCTAAGCTCTCTGTAAACTGTTCCTGACCTCCCTCCTGTCGCTCCATACTATTACCCCCTGAATATCCAGACTGCCCCTTATCTCTATGAAATTCCTTTGTATAGGTCAGCACAAATTGTGACAGTTCCCCGTCTCCCCCTTTGTACTTTGCTCACCAGCTCCCTCACACTCTTGATCCCTATGCTCCTCCGCATTTCTGGATTGCCTCCTAGGGCTCCTTGGGTAACTGGCACGCATCCAATTACCATACTGGCTTTCCTTATCAATGTTGATCCCTTTCTTACTACAATTTCTTTCATTATGGCCTATCAAACCACAACAGAAACAAAAGTCTGGACACTTTTCGTACTTGAAATCTAGCCATCTTCGTTCCCCACTACTGCTAACCATAATACCTCTTGGTAGTGGCATTGTTAGCTCCACTTCAGCAAGTACTTTGAGATGTTTCCCATCCTTCCCTCCCCCCTGAGGGACAATAACCTCTCTAACCCCCGCAAAAATACCACCAATCTTCCTACCAACTCCTTAGTAGCCCAATGCAAGGGGATGTTCCAGATCTGAACCCAAACCAGCGATCTGCTGAACGCCAATTCTTTTTCCTCTATTCCTGCTTTCCACTCCACCAAAACAAGTGGTTGACCATCATATATCCATGGTCGTCTACCTAACACCAGCTCAATGTCCTTCCTGCTACCAAACACAAATTGAAACATATTAGCTCTGATCTCAGTAATTCTAACATTTCGTAATTGAGGCCACATACTATGTGCGAAGCTCCTAATGCCCATAATATTGGCTTGTTTTTCCCCCCACACTTTCCCTATTAAACTCAGCTCACATTCCTTGATTCCTCGTTCCAGTTCCCCCTCTTCCAAACAGATACCAGTCCTCTCCTCCTGACAAGGTAAACCTCCGCAGCACTTCCTCAATATGATCCATCTCCTGCGATTCCACCGACTATACTACCTCAAATCCCAGACTGCTATAGTACCAATCCAGCCGAGATCAGCAATCCAGACTGTTATTCCGAGCACCGTACACCTCCTCCTAACCAAACGGGAAATCCACCAGACTCCGGAACTCAGCAAAGAACCCTGATCCTGCAAAACAAACACACACAGACCAACCTAGCAGACGATCTACGACAAAAAAAATTTTTTTTTTGTTTTTTTTGTTTTTTTTTGTTTTTTTTTTTTATTTCCTACTGCAGAACTATATACTAAAAATTGTTTTTCCTAACACAGATCTAAGGCTTTCCTAAAAAAGAAAGATTTTTGGACAAGTAACTTGAAGGGGATCTCTGTATTTTGAATATGGAAAGAAGGACAAAAAAAAAAAAAATTCCTAATAGCGATCTCACCACGAAGGGGGATTTCTCTCTCTAAGATGGAGAGAAAAAACCTCTCATAGAGAGAGAAGTGACACCGATCTTTTCTGCTTGCTCCTTCAGACAAGAAATTATCAATGGAAGCATTCTCAGCTTTATCATTTTATTTATTTTATGACTCTGACAACAATATACTTAGAAGCTCGTTTATAGTTTACATATGGCTTCTGCCCAACGCAAGTGACCCTCAATTGTAGACTTGAAAATCGAATTTTAGACTTTCCACACGGAGGATTTGGGATTAGGATTGTAAATAAATGTTTTTATTCAGTCCACAAAAGTTGCAGTTAATGTACTCATTTGACCTCCATCAAACCATTAGGACCATAGCTGCAAAAGATGTATAAATCCACTTCACTAACATAGCTAACTAGTTTGGATGAGTGGATAAACAAATGGAGAGTCCAAATCCTAAAAGGAAGAAAGAAAGAAGAAAGTTTGAGAGTCCAACAAAAAAGAAAATATCTTAACTACCCATTTAAGATGAGAGAAGAGAGAAGGGGAATTCGAAACTACAACTTCTAATTTTTGGAGCCACTATCAGTTAAATTGGGTAAATGAACATGTGAAAAAAAGCCTTTCAATCCAACGGTTTGATTAATGTTAATGGAATACCAATTGGCCTAGTTACCTTCAATCTCATCTCAATATGACCTTGACTCCTTGGGTGGAAGCAAAGACTTTTCCACGAACCAATCCTCAAGTTAGGCGTGTTTGTGTGGAAATTGACTCAAGTCAGTCACTCGGTTGTTAATGACTGTGTGAAACTGCTGTTGTTGATTGGTACTCCTTTTTGCTGTCCCGTTTCTATCTTTTATTTCTGGTCATCAGAGCAAATGGTGATGCCAGAAACCAAATAGGAGTGGTAATTGGCAGAGGGCAGTGCATTTCTCAGCAACAATTAGCTCATTATAATCAACCAAAAGAAAAAAAAAAAAAAGATGGATCGAAGCTTATGCCTCTGCCTACTGATTTGCCTGTTCTTGCAGTGCCCATTCAGTTATTCTTGGAAGAGTCTAACATTTCTTGATCTTGGTTCCAACTTACTGCAGGGACCATTACCTGCTTCTCTCTGCAACTTAGAAAAGCTGCAATATCTTCTCCTGTCTGACAACAAACTGACCGGAACAATACCTCACTGTTTCGGGAACATCAGCACACAGCTCACGGTGTTGGACTTGCGGAGAAACGACTTTCATGGGATGATTCCAACAACGTTTCCAGAGCGCAATGAGCTCAGGAATCTTGGTCTCAACGGCAATCAACTAGAAGGGCCCCTGCCACGATCTTTGATCAACTGCAAGAGCTTGGAAGTTCTCGACGTTGGACAAAACCATATAACTGGTCCATTCCCTGACTGGCTCGGAACTCTTCCAGAGCTACGTGTTCTGATTTTGAAATTGAATAGATTGCAAGGTCCAATTGGAAATTCATCGAATAAATCATCATTCCAGAAGCTCAAGATCTTGGACATATCTTACAATAATTTCACCGGCTATGTACCTGCCAAGATGCTTGAAAATTTTCGGGCTATGAAGAAGAATGGCAGCGAAACGTCACAACGTCAATACATGGGAGATGGCTCATACTATCTAGATTCCGTGACTGTAATCATGAAAGGGCTAGAATACCAAGTAAAGCGGATCCTCACGGTTTTCACAACCATCGATTTGTCTGGAAACCAATTCGAAGGAAACATTCCGAAATCCATTGGGGATCTCAATTCTCTCGTGGTATTCAACTTGTCCCACAATAACTTCAATGGTTTGATTCCACAAACACTGGGGACTTGTCTGAACTTGAATCACTAGACCTTTCTTATAACCAACTGGAGGGAAGGATTCCCCCTGAGGTTTGCAATCTGCATTTTCTTGAAGCCTTGGACCTTTCCCAGAATCATCTGGTGGACCAATTCCTTCAGGTGGGCACTTCAATACCTTTCCTAATTCTTCATTTACTGGGAACCCCGGATTGTGTGATTTTCCGCTTAAAGATTGTGGAGAAGTTGATGGACCGCAACCATCTCCCTGGCGGGTATCTCATCACGGAGATTGTTAGATCTTACGAGTGGATTTACATGGAAACCAGTGGTCTTAGGATATTGTTTTGGAATGATCCTTGGAGTGGCCATTGGATTCCTAATGTTCTCTACTCGAACCCCAAGATTGTTCGTTGCTATGGTTGAAGATGTATGCAAACGATCGAAAAGGCCAAGAAGAGTTCTGTACGTCCCTTTGGCTCAAGGTTTGAGTAAACGATCGAAAAGACCTCAGATGACGTGAAAAATGGATCGACTAGCTGAATGGTACTGTATTAGTTTGATCGTTCATATGTATGTTTACTTGCAATATTGTGCTTTAAGAACTGTACTGTATTTCTTCATCGGAGCATTTTTCTTTGTTCTCTAATGATTTCAGGCTATCGTTGAATTAAATGAGTTAATTGTTGCCTTCCTTTTCGTTTAGTCTAAGATTCATTTAATGATGATGGACGACTGAGTGAAATTGGATATGTTATGATTTTGAAAAATCTCGTTGCTTTCATTAGAAAGATGTGTTTTAATTTAATTTCGACTGAGTGAAATTGGATATGTTATGATTTTGAAAAATCTCGTTGCTTTCATTAGAAAGATGTGTTTTAATTTAATTTTTTTTATCTTTTGAATAATTTTAACTACTTTTTTATTTAACACATTGTGTACACTTATAGAAACATTTTAACTATCTTTTTTATTTCACATATATAAAAAAAAAAATTCTATTGTGTTCTTTAATAAACTAAACAAGACTTGTAATCAAGCTATAGAATATTCTCTTTCTTTGCGCAATAGGAGGTGGTTTTCATTTCACATAATCACATCACATATAAAAGTAAATAACAAAACAGAAAAATACTACCGTGCTTTTTAACAAACTTTCTATTTCAATGTTAAGTTTTTAAGGTGTTTATTTAAAATTTTATTGTGACTTACTAAAGTTATTTTTAAAAAGATATTGATTTTTGTCTAAAACATCCAAAACACCTCCATTTGGATTGGCCATTTTTTGAAAAATAAAATTATCATATATAATGTTACAATAATACACAAAAAAAAAAAAAGCAACCTCAAAAACACCAAAAATACAAAAGAAAAAAAAAACCTCAAAAGTAATCTTATCTACAGTAAAAATTTTTCACTTACATTATTACAATAAAATATTTCAAAAACACCTTCCAAAAACAGTTAATCCAAACGGAACAGCCCTTACTCCTCCCGCACCAGTGGCAGCATTCACCACCCACCATTGCTATTCACATTCGTTACCCATAGCTAATTTAATTCTTTTAATTATTTTTTAAAACTCATGAATATTTTAAAGTGTTACTATAAATGGTGTTTTATCAAAATTTTGCCTTTTTAAAACATCTCTAAAACATGAGCGCCGAACAGACCCTGAAACTGCGTCTTGTGGTTAAGCTAAAGAGCATCCTCTTTCTCTGGACAGAAAGAGGTCGGGGGCTTAATGGAATATGTTCTCTCTCATTTTCATGCACTCATGCCCATGGGCAGGAGTTGACCCGAGTCAACTTTTTGTTTAATAAACCAAATTGGATAATTCAAAGTGCTTTACGAGCTTGACACGTTCATGAAAGGCCTTGGCTGATGTGTTTATTCCTGAGGATTAAACTTCTTGAATTGTTCGATGACAGCTGCTTTACTGTTTTTCACCGCAGGTTTAGCATACAAAAACTCGAACCGGGCGGGAGGCTAGCAGCACCCTTTTCAAAGTCCTCCGCCGAGCGCGCGTGGTTGCTTTTACCACATTGAAATGTTTCCGGAAGTCATTTATTTTGATTTCAAGTTGGAGATATATGCTTCACTGACGGGGCAAAATATTCTCTTTTAGGGTCATGTGAACTCACATTCAAAGCTTGGAAGACAGAAAGAAACACGAATTTTAAGACCCACAAGAAGTTTAAGGCTAGGAATGAATCAGACTTTAAATACGATATGGCTGTATTGTATGTGCTACCAACAGATTCAAAGCTACAACACTAGCTGTTCTTTTCCTACCCTTCAAATTGACTCCAATAATTATGAGATGTGTCTCATTCTTCCTTCAGCATTTTCGTTTATGCAGTCAAAAACTTGCTCGATCTGTGTTGGCACAAAAAAAAAAAAGAAAAGAAAATGCACAGTGAAAGCAATCTTAACGCATATGAAAATATACAGGAAGAGAAGAGAAGGAGAATAAATACGCAAATAAATACTCAATAGTTTACTAACCCAAAATTCAACAGTAACAAATATCAAGTCGTAACCTTTCACTCACGACAAATCATAAATCTTAAACTATGAAATTTTTTCTCAAATCCACTTTCAAGACTGACTCAACTCAACTCTTTAAACCTACAATTTCTCAACTCTTTCTTCAAGGAAACAATAAGACACTAGTAGTATTTATAGATTGCTAAACTTTCAAAACAAACACAATTATAAATTGAAACTTACTTGGAATAGATTTAAAATTTCTTAAACTAATATGGAAACTAAACAAATATGCCACCAAAACAAGAAACTAGAAGAATTAGGAAATTGCCATTTTCTGCCAGAAAATTGTGTCACTTTCCGTGATCACATTTTCCTATTACATTTTTCCCTTACATACATCAAATCACTACAATATATTTTTTCATGAAAAATGATGGAAAATGCAATTCAAACGGGAAAAATGCAAAATATTTTGGTATAATTTCCTTCAATCTGTCGATGGCCTCTCAATTTTTCTTGAAAAAGTTACTCTGGACTAGGGTGAGCATCGAATTCGAATTCGGTAATTCGGTAGGTTGAAATCGGTAATTTTCGGTAAATGGTGCTGGAAATATTCGACCTAATTCGCATTCGAATTAGGAAATATCGAATTCGAATTCAATCCGAATTGAATTCGGTAAATGAAAATTGACCGAATTAACCGAATTGCTGGAGGATAAACTCCCAGCTCCTTCACCAAGCTTTCGTACACAATCATGAAGAAATCAATCTCCTGCTTGGTTCTTTTGTCCTTGGCCTGCATTGCCTCCTTTGCCAACACCTCTGACGGACAATCCGATGGCTGTGAAATATATGACATCACTCATCCCATAAAGAATAATATGCCAACTTTGGAAGCTCAGAAGGTGCGAATGATGTGATAAAAGAATTTGAAGGGCAAGTTACCCTCACTGGTACCATCACCATGGGTACTCATCTTGGCACCCATGTTGATGCCCCTGCACACATTTTCCCGGGCAGCATTTTTCAGCAATGGTGGAGGGTTGTTCAGCAATGGTAGAGGCTCAGTCAGAACGAGAAACGGAGAAAGAGTACTAGGGGTGAGCTTTGAGCTTTCTGTAGTTGAGGAGAGGAGAAGACTGAGGAGAATGAGCAGAGGAGAAACTCAGAAACAGCTTAGGGCCTGAGGCTTAGACTACAGTGGGCGGCGCTGCGGCAGTGCAAAGGAACGAGAGGAAGAGGGGACGAAGAGGAGAACAAATGCTAGTTTACGGCACTGAGTCTGAAAATCTGAAATTGGAACAATATCCAGACATAATAATATTATTTCCTATGTAACTTAATTCGGAATTTCGAAATTGAAAACGGTAATAATTTACCGTTTTACCGAAATCAATTCGAATTCAGTAAATTCGAAATCAAAAACTATAAAACCATTTTCGACCCTAATTCCATTCTAATTAATTCGATATCCCCGATTTACCGACCTAATTACCGAATTACCGAATTCGAATTACCAAATTGAAATCGATTTCGGTCGGTAATTCGGTAATTACCGTAATTGCTCACCCCTACTCTGGACCATAGGTGTTCCTTGCTTGAGGGACCATCAAATGCCTTGTTCTATATCTGCAACTGCAAAGCTACGGACTCGATTAAGTTCGTACTAACAACAGAAATTATATCAGTCATTAATTGATACAATAGATCTGAAGAAACATCTAAAGAACTAACAAAAAAATTGCACAGTGAAGGCTAACATATTTTGAAAAACCCAATGGCTAGTAGTTAGTTGGATTATCTTTTCTTTCACAGGTAAAGATATCTACAGCTGAGGGGGTGATGGCTGAGTTAGAAAAGTCTAAGTTAGAGTATCTTCAAGCTTTAATAATTGTAAAAAGAATTGCGATTCCAAAGCATCTGCTTCGTCACATGTATGATTTTGCCCAAGATGTGGAGTCATTGATTGAGTGGGTTTGCCACCAATTGCCTACATCTGGGTGGCTCTGAAAATCCGTGGGTCGTTCCTGTGGGAACGGCCTCCACTATTATAGATACTACTAGAGGTACCTCGGCTGTGCAACGCACAGCCAGGGCCTTCTAGAACATTAGTTAAATACATAGTAACAAATGTTTTAGTACATAATGAATAGAAATATAGGAAAAATATTAAGTATAAAAATAATTAAAATTTGGTGTGAAAAGAAATTTCATATATAAAGTTAACCTCAATTTATTGTGATTTGAAAAAATAATTTTTAACCAATATTATGTGTACGTAATGATACCAAAAAAGAAAAGAAAGCAAATCCATTATGAGTGCATTATCGGTTTAATAGCAGCATAGTTTTAGTTGTAATTAAATAAAGAGTAGTCATAATGTTTCTAACATTTTAATAATTAGAAAAAATATAGAAAGCCACAAAAACCTGTCACTATCTTCAACATCAATAAAAAAAAATACAAACTTGCATATTTTCTTTCTTTTTTGAGAGAAAGAGCGAGTTAATCTATCCATTTAAATCATGTCTAATAGCATTACAAATAGATGAAAACATTATCTAACCAAATAGTTATAGAATATGTATAGCAAGTTTAAATAAAAACATGAATTGCCATATTTGTAAATCTACATATGCAAATTCAAATCCAACAATTTGTTTGATTGCAAATATGTCTTCTTAATCAAAATAGAATTTTCTAATAATATTTTGTAGAGCGACACTCTAAGCTAAATGCCTCAATACTAACTTCCCACCAAATGCATTCATTTGAAAGCTGCAATTGTTTTAACTAGTCAAATCGACAAAATATTATTAACTTATTTAGCCAAATAGTAATGATATGTCCAATTCTATGCCTAACAATCATCTCAAACTCTATTACATTATCTATCATTATGGGCAATAGAAAGGAATAAGAGTACAAAGTCATATAGAACCAGTTTAAGTAAAAAAGATTCTGAAATCTAATTTTGCACTTCTTTTATTTCCAAGCTATCATTTGCTAAAATTAAAACCATGAAAATAAACTGCCTATTATGGATACAAGCTAGTCATTCAAAATGTTAAATGAAGAGATATAAAATATTATCTTCACATTCTAAATTGCTAGCCCCAACAATTATTTTACCCGTCATCCACCTTATCCAGTTTATAAGCACTTTTCACAATTAATAAACTTTATACAAATTAAAATATAATTACCTATCCATAAATTAAGATATTCTGGTTAATTTTTAATTTAATAGGCATCATTTTTTTCTTCCTGATCATCGTTTACCTTGGATTTTCATTTATTAGATTTTTTTCTCCTCTACTGTAGTACTATCACCCTATTATCAAATAACAATTTTAATAAATAAAAAATTAGAATTAGAATGAATCTGCATAATGGTGTTTTTTATTTTATGAGGGAAAAGTAGTTACAATTCTTTCATTGTTAGCCTAAAAATTCTTAATGTAATCACCACCCGTCTTGTTGTCAGCCTTTTCCAAAAATAAAAAGATCAAAAAGTAGTTTCAGAATAAATAAAATATAAAAAACTAGAAAAAATGTTTCTTTAGATTTGGGGAAAAATATTCACAGCATCATATACCTATTTTGGGCAGAAAAGAAAGTCAGATGAAGAAGAAATAGGTGAGAAAAGTAATAAGCAAAGGTTGCTGATCAAGATGCAAAAAATGACAAAAAAAATATCAAATAATATATACCAAAAAAAGACATTAAAAGTAGAAGATCACAAATCATAATTATTGAACAATGGAAGAAAGGAAATATCAAACCCATTCTTGATCTCTGATAATGAAATCATTCATTTAGTTAATTATGGACAAAAATGAAAGAAAATGCATCAACTAATCCAATAGAGAAAAAATAGAATAAATGATTAATTAGGATGATAGGGAAAAAATGGAATACAAAGTGGAAACTAAATAACAAACTTGCAGTGTACATGAGGATTTGTTTAATTATCTTTAATAAAAAAAGAGAAAGGAAATAAAGTGAATAAAAGAAAAAACAAAGCAAAATAAAGAAAAGAAAAGGAATGAGCCATGTGTCAAAATGAGAGGAATCCATTTGGCAATCATTAGAGCTGCTGCAGTAACTCCACTTTCTTCTTCTATAATAGGTAGATACCATATGATTTCGGATTCCAGTATCTCTTGGCAATATAATTTTAGGGCCATTTTGCAGCTCTATTGTGTAATTATGTGGTGGAAAGTTTTGTTCGATATGTAAATGGAAACTAGTTATTCTTTTGGTCTTTTTCGAAATGCTATGGAAGAAGCATTGCTCTTGTCAAAAGGGTTTTTTTTTTTTTTTCCGGAAATGGTTTTGAGAAGCATTTGTGGAGAATTCACTATTGTCAGTGGTCAAGATCCTATGCTTTTAGTTCTCCCACCAATTAATTCTTGCGTATTCATTTCTAGTTTCAAGCTTCCTACTTGGTCCTCCAGAAAAGAGAAGGGGAAAAAAAAATCTTCATTGTCAATAGAATTATTCTCATCTTTATCTTTTTATTTACTTCATGACCTTGACAAGTGACAACTATACACTTAGAAGCGCGTTTATAGTTTACGCATAGCTTCTGCGTAACTGGTCCAACCATCAATTGTAGACTCGAAAATTGAATTTGAGTCTTTCCACGTGGAGGATTTGGGATTAGGATTGTAAATGAATGGTTTTTATTCAGTCCGCAAAAGTCTCAGTTAATGTACTCATTTGGCTTCCATCAAACCATTAGGACCATAGTTGCAAAAGATAGATAAATCCACTTCACTACACATATCTAACTAGTTTAGATAAGTGGATAAACAAATGGAGAGTCCAAATCTTTAAAGGGGAAGATATGCATACATACATACATACTTACATATACATATATATATATATATATATATATATATAGCATTTCGACTACCTATTTAAGAAGTGGGGAAGAGGAGGGGGGAATTTGAATCCACCACTTCTATTTTCTGGTGCCTCAGCCGTAGTCACTATCAATTAATTTGCACTAGGAGGATAACACCGCGCGATGCGCGGTGTAACTTTTAGACTTGCCCAGAAATATCCAATTATTCAAATTTAGATAATAAGCATGAAAAGTTATATAAAGGTGCACCAAAATCTTTAGGATTAGGTTTTTGTAAATTTATTAAGCAACGAAAATAAGCCACAATTTTAACTTAGTGACTAAGCTACGAAAAGTCATTTTTTGCTTTACCTACTAATTGAATAGGATCGGCAATGTCATAAATTTCAAAGTAATATATACCATGTAACGTCATCTTGCATCGACTAACTGTATTTGCCATGATTTGATGTGCATAAAAAATGTGTCATTCATGAACAAATTCAAGAGGAAGCTCAACGTTTTGAGAGCAATACTCAAATATGTCGGATAAGAAGCCTATTTAATTGTAAAATATAGAAACGACCACATAATAGCAAGAGAAATAGGATTCAACACGATAAAGATGACTACATAATAGCAAGAGATACAAGATTCAACACAATATAGACTAAAGATCTATATATAACTGATAAGAGAAACAAGCGATTATCTCGTGTCTAAAATCTTATTACGACAATGAATAAGTTTTGAAAAACCAAATCAAATAATTACACAATGAAAATATTTCAGATGCAAGATATGTTTTACGTCAACAACATACAACAAATTTAACATCCTTTTTCCTTTTTCTTTTTCTTTTTTTTTTTTGCATAAAAGAAACTTTAAAATAACATATAATCCTATACACATACAAAAGAGATCTCCAAAATGCAGTCTCTATAGACCCATAATGAAAACTTTGTCAATGAAGTTTTCCCCGGCTGCAGCTTCATGCAGTGATGCAGATGCAAAACCAAGAAAGTCAAAACCAAGCTTTGGACACAAAAATTCACAATGAAAATCAATAGATAAAAAAAGACCAATCCAGCAAGCCATCTCTAAGCCTAAGGTAAAGCCAAGGGGCAGATTTCTGAGAGGCACTGACAAATCTAAACTGCATCGGAGTCTTTTCAAACATCGGGTTTTCCAGATTATCATATTCTACTGGAGAATATTATTTACGGAATGCTCAAAGATCATTCCAATATTATACAGAAATCTATATAAGTTGCCATCTAAACTGGATATGTTAAATGCAGATCTTGTCAAACATCCAGGATTTCTTGACGACATGAGCAATTTTCTTCCTCTTAAGTAAATTATTGCAGAATGTTCAAAAAGTTTATTGTAATCTTACAATCCAAAATATTCTTTAAACAATCTAAGTCATTATATAATTGATGAATTCTGTTACACAAGTTTCAGCTATTTAAATTTCTCAAATTTCACCAGAATGGATGTAAAAGGGTTGAAGAATAAGGTTCTTTGGTATAGGTTTCAAAAAATGGCATATTTCCATTCAGAATTTGTCTTGATAGTACTTCATTGTACAATAAAGGATGCCAATAGAATATTCCAATTTAATGCGTATGGTCCTAATCATCAAATATAATGAACTACAAGTCGTAACTTAGGAAATCATGATCATAGAACTATTGATCTTGCATGTCTTGATCATCGTCAGCTCAGGTGCAAAACATCCTCAAGAGGAACAAAACTGAACCATTACCATAATCCAGGCTAGTTACTTAGAATTCTACATATTACAATTTAACGCCACTAATTGCATGAGATAATTTAAGAATCCCAATGAGGATCTTATTTCGATTTCTGCGATTATCCTTAAGCTATTTGAGGCACAAAAAGAAAAAGAGAAATCTTCCAAAATACTATTTACCCATCCATATTTTGACAAAACTTAATCACAAAAGATTATAGCGAAAACAACAAAAATAAAAATACACTTATTTACTGTTATAAGCATAGTCTCTCGATCTGATTTGTATAAAAACATAACCTTTTTCAAGTTCTCCTTCCAAATTATCACCATTGACATCTCACATATAAATAAGCAATCTATAAATCCAAACAAAAAAAAAACCCAGACCTTAAATCAACTAAAAGCTATAAGAATTGCATCAATCTCCCACTATTCGTTGATTTTGACAACCAATCAGCTATAGTACAGAAACAAGAATCCAAATATTACCATTTTACAACCCATGTACTTACCAGCAAGTAATCAATTCAAAAAACCCATCAAAACCCCAGAAGTAAAATCCACCAAAAACCATAAATATCTGAGGATCAACAAAATTCATATAATAAAGGTACAACCTTGGTCCTTGACATACTCAGCAAAGGTGTTGCAGTCTAAGCAGAGAGCCAGATCAGTTAATCCCAGACTCTCACACTCTTTGGTGCTAAGTTGCATTTGCACATGAGCAGACCCACCAGTAACAAAACCCAATGTATGGTCATTTCCTGCTACAGAAGTAGGATTAGGATTAGATGTACCCCAATAATAACATATTCATATAAAGAAAAGAACCTTTAAAGTTGCTTAGAAGAAAGAAGAATCCACAAAAAAAAAATGGCGATAACAGAAACAAGAGAAGAAATCTATTGAGAGAGTATAAAAGCTAGTTTTACCAACAGAAATTAATCAATAAAAATAATGTCACTGATGAAATTTCCCCAAAGGGAACAAAACATTGTACATATACGTGGAAGCAAATTCTAGAGAAGTTCCTATGCATTATTTTCTAATTTTTCTTTTTTTAAAAAAAAATGCAATATTGGGTCCAACATCAAATGTCAATTGTATGACGCACAGGAATACTATTTTCTGAACATAATTTTTCCAGTCAAAGATCGAGCCAAGTTTTTTTAGTAATTTAAAAGAGGAAAGATGGTATCTTCATAGTAGATTAAATGGATTTTGCTTTTGAAACTCCATTTATGTAATTCGTATAACTATGTATCTCATGAATCATGAACTGATCAAAACATCTTCAAGGAAGTTAGTCATAATAATGATTTCATTTTGCACGTTAAAACCACAAAACCAGAAAAATCGACTATGAAATAAAGATTTCATCATACAGCTTCCCAAATTTGACATTACGAAGAATACCAAGTAGTTTATATAACAGATTCATTATGTTTCCCAGCCAAGGGAAAAAAAGAAGATACAGAAGAAAAAGATACTTGTATCTAATTTACTTTGACAAACACAATAAAACCTAAAACACAAAACACTGGAAGAAATTTGCTCATTCTTCCAATCACTTTTACCTTTATCCTTTCTCTGACAACAACCTCAATAAACAAAAATAGGCTAAATTAGGTGAGAGAAACCATTTATAGAAAAAGACTATGGTTTATAGTATAAATAGTAGAACACAAATAAATATTACCAGCTTTAACTACTTCTTAGAGAAGTCAACTTCAAGTTTTCATATTCCTTCCTGTAACAACAACCACTAATATACTTGGAAAAGTAGCACCAAAAGAACAAAAAAAAAAAGGAAAAAAAATCATCCATCAAATCCTAAACCAGGCGTGGAAGAGGGAAAAATTAAATCAGATTGATGCAGCAAACTTACATTTTCACTCACCAGTTGTTTTTCACAAGTGGCCATTTTTCCTCCGAACTCCAGAAGAAATCCAAGACAAAAACGAAAAATGGAACAATAAATCACCAAATAGATACAAAAAAGAAAGTTAATAAATATCTAAAAGCTAGCTAATCATCAATTATTCATCATCTCAGACCATATTAAAAGTTTTTTTTCTGATTAAAAATAAAAATCAATGATAAAACAGAAATGAAACAGAACATTAATCATGGAAAGAAAGGGGAAGAAAAGTACCATATATCTGCATTCTAGAAATTGACATCAGATAGTGGAGATGAAATATTGACCTTCCCCGTCCTTACTGTTTCACAAAAGGACACGACAGAGATGAGAAAAAAAAAAGATTTGCTGCTTTTAGCCAATGAAATAGAAATATCAGGAAAATGATAGGAAAACAGAAAAAATTAGCCCTAACTACTCGAGGGAGGGAGGAAGATGAAGAAGAACAAGAGGGAGAACTGGGAGAAACCGGGAGTGGAAGGGGAAGAAGATTACCAGCCCTTTTCTGTCTCGAGCCCATCGTCCATCAAATCCTAAGCAACCACTCTGCAGAAGGAAAAATCCGGACCCTCCAATTGAGATTACAATCTCTTCCAAGTACAATCAAATGCCAGAAATTGAGGGGAGACCTCTGGGTCTCATAAAAAAAATGGAGTTTTGTCCAGAGGACAAAAGCAAAGAAAAGCTCTTGACATCGATTGATGCTGCTATGTTTTGAAAGACAGAGAAAGAAGAAAGAAGAAAGAAGAGAAGCTGCCGTCGGTTTACCAGTCCAAGCAAACAAAAAGGCAGACATCCAATTGGCAAACGGGCTGGACGACCATCAATTGAGAATTTCGGGCCGGACGACCACCAATCAACCAATGAAAGCGAGCCACGTCAGCAATTGAAGCCCAATTGAAAACAAGGGCATTCCCCAATAGACTAGATATGTTAATAAATGAACATGTGAAAAACAAGCCTTTCAATCCAACGGTTTGATTCGAGCTAATGGAGTACCGACTAGCCTAGTTACCTTCAATCTCATCTCAGTGTGACCTTGATTCCTTGAGTGGAAGCATAGACTTTTCACGAACCAATCCTCAAGTTAGGCGTGTTTGTGTGGAAATTGACTCAAGTCAGTCACTCGGTTGTTAATGACTGTGTGAAACTGCTGTTGTTGATTGGTACTCCTTTTTGCTGCCCCCTTCTATCTTTTATTTATGGTCATCAGAGCAAATGGTGATGCCAGAAACCAAATAGGAGTGGTAATTGGCAGAGGGCAGTGCATTTCTCAGCAACAATTAGCTCATTATAATCAACCAAAAGAAAAAAAAAAGATGGATCGAAGCTTATGCCTCTGCCTACTGATTTGCCTGTTCTTGCAGTGCCCATTCAGTTATTCTTGGAGGAGTCTAACATTTCTTGATCTTGGTTCCAACTTACTGGAGGGACCATTACCTGCTTCTCTCTGCAACTTAGAAAAGCTGCAATATCTTCTCCTGTCTGACAACAAACTGAACGGAACAATACCTCACTGTTTCGGGAACATCAGCACACAGCTCACGGTGTTGGACTTGCGGAGAAACGGCTTTCATGGGATGATTCCAACAACGTTTCCAGAGCGCAATCAGCTCAGGAATCTTGGTCTCAACGGCAATCAACTAGAAGGGCCCCTGCCACGATCTTTGATCAACTGCAAGAGCTTGGAAGTTCTCGACGTTGGACATAACCATATAACTGGTCCATTCCCTGACTGGCTCGGAACTCTTCCAGAGCTACGTGTTCTGATTTTGAAATTGAATAGATTGCAAGGTCCAATTGGAAATTCATCGAATAAATCATCATTCCAGAAGCTCAAGATCTTGGACATATCTTACAATAACTTCACCGGCTATGTACCGGCCAAGATGCTTGAAAATTTTCAGGCTATGAAGAAGAATGACAGCGAAACGTCACAACGTCAATACATGGGAGACGGTACATACTATTTAGATTCCGTGACTGTAATCATGAAAGGGCAAGAATACGAAGTAAAGCGGATCCTCACAGTTTTCACAACCATGGATTTGTCTGGAAACCAATTCGAAGGAAACATTCCAAAGTCCATTGGAGGTCTCGATTCTCTCAGGTTACTCAACTTTTCCCACAACAACTTCAATGGTTTGATTCCAACCTCATTGGGGGACGTGGCTGCACTTGAATCGTTAGACCTTTCTTTTAACCAACTGGAGGGAAGGATCCCCAAGAACTAACAAAGCTGAACTTTCTTTCAGACTTGAACGTTTCCAAGAATCATCTCGAGGGACTAATTCCTCAAGGTGGGCAGTTTTATACCTTTCCTAATTCCTCATATACTGGGAACCCCGGATTATGTGGTTTTCCACTTAACGATTGTGGAGAAGATAAGGGACCCAGTCATCTCCAATGCGGGTATCTCATCCCACAGATTTGTTAGATCTTACGAGTGGATTTACGTGGAAACCAGTGCTCTTGGGATATTGTTTTGGAATGATCCTTGGAGCGGCCATTGGATTCCTAATGTTCTCTACTCGAACCCCAAGATTGTTCGTTGCTATGGTTGAAGATGTATGCAAACGATTGAAAAGGCCAAGAAGAGATCTGTACGTTCCTATGGCTCAAGATACGAGTAAACGGTCGAAAAGACCAAGAAAAGAAGCCCTCCGATAGCGTAAAAAATTGATTAATTAGCTCAACGTGTTATATTGTATTAGTTTGATCGTTCATATGCATGTTTATGCTTGCAACATTGTGCTTTAAGAACTGTACTTTAGTTTCTTCATCGGATTATTTTACTTGTGATTTCTGGCTGTCGTTGAATTAAATGAGTAAATTGTCGCCTTCCTTTTCATTTAGTCTAAGATTCATCTAATGATGATGGACGACTGAGTGTAATTGGATATGTTATGATTTTGAAAATTCTCGTTGCTTTCATTGCAAATACAGTACGTTTTTTAAATTTAATTTTTTATTTTTTTAATCTTAGAAACTACTTTAAATTTATATATGTATACATACCATGTACGTTATTATACATCATATCACTTACTTCATTTATAAACACAAATTAAAAAAAAATTCTACCGCATTCTTAAACAAACTAAAACAAGACTTGTAATCAAGCTATAGACTATTCTCTTTCTTTGGGGCAGTAGGGGGTGGTTTTCATTTCACATAATCACATCACATGTAAAAGTAAATAACAAAACAGAAAAATTCTATTGTGTTTATTAACAACCTGTCCATTATAATGGCAAGTTTTTTAGCTATTTGCCTAAAACTTCATTGTGATTTGCGAAAGTTATTTTAAAAAATTGTTATTTGTTTTCTTAAATAACCAAAACACCCCCTTCCCTCTCCCCCGCCAGCGACAACCTTCGCCACCCATCACTACCATCCACATTCGCTATCGAATATCGATACCTAATTTAATTTTTTTTTTCAGTATTTCTTTGAAACTCTTGAATGTTTCAAAGCGTTACTGTAAATGGTGTTTTATCAAAATTTTGCCTTTCTTAAAACATCTCTAAAACATGAGTGCCAAACAGAACCCGAAACATGAGTCTTGTGGTTAAGCTAAAGACCATCCTCTTTCTTTGGACGAGAGGTCCATGTTTGAGTGGAATGTGAGGGACCTCTTTCGTTTTCATGACCTACAAAAACTCGAACCCAGAGGCCAACAGCATCTTTTTCAAAGCCCTCTGCAAAACGTGGTTGCTTTTACCACATTAAAACGTTTCCAAAAGTCATCTTGACTTCGAGTTGGAAATATGTACCACTTTACTGATCGATGGGGCACAATCTTCTCTTTTGGGCCATGTGAAACGCGCATTCAAAGCTTTGAATAGGAACCAACAGATTTAAAGCCCTCTCAATTTTTGTTGGAAATGTTTCTCTCGACCATAGAGGGACCATCAAATGCCTTGTTCTATCTGCAATTGCAAGCGTTAAAAGCGGTCAAATTTGGACACCACTGCCTTAGTCCAACAAGAAATTAATTGACACGAGACAGCGCAGAAATACTCTTTTGTTCCGATGAAAGATTGCCTTCCATATAACGACCTCCTTTTTTTTCTTTTTTTTTTTGTCCTCTTTCTCTTTTGGGGAGTTATAAGGCATCTGGCTGTGTGAATTGTTGTAGTTAAACATGAAAGCCGTAGAGTAAATTTTTTGCAGTTAAAAGTGACGAGGTTCTAAGAGTCCTTTTCTAACCACACAGCACCAACTCTAATGAATGGTTGATATATCTATTTACTTCTTTGTATGGCGGCTATTTGCCTAAAATTGTATTTTTTATATAGATGCCATCCCATGCAAATGAAATCGAACATATCACCATAAAGTTGTGGATAAAGGCCTCAATGCTTGATAAATGGCCTATTGAAAATGGTTGGAGGTCAAAATATTAATTATTATTTGAATATGGACATGCGGTTGACACTGGTTAATTTTTTATAGTTCTCGAAATGTAAATTCCTATTTGTTGTAAATTATTTAGTCAAGTGATGTGTATATGACCACAACTGTTTAGTATAGAATTTGTTGAGGCCCTAGAGTTTCAGTTTTACCTGCAACCAAAAGAAAAAAGAAATTACCATAATGAATTTACATCTTTATCTAACATAAAACAGACGACAATAAATACCGGGAGATACCCAGAAATTAAAAAAAATATATATATATATCTAACATTAGGAAGAATAATCAAATCCTACATACGTTCTTGCGAGCAAGGATATTACTCCTCAAGAATTCATGCTAAGCAATCTCCCAGAGCAGCTCCCTCTATGCATTTTTTTTTTGTAGTTGTTCAATCTCCTGAATACCATTAGGAATTTGACCAGACAAGAAGTTGAAGGCAGAGAAAGTCTCTGCAATTTATCAAGCATCCCAGCTCACTTGGAATCTCACCAGACAACAGGTTCGCACTAAGATCAAGGGATTACAACTCACTAAGCATCCCTAGCTCTCGTGGAATCTCACCCTTCACTCTGTCGTCCTGTAGATGCAGCATTTCCAAAAGCTTGCAATTTCCCAATTCAGGTGGAATTTCCCCAGATAAGGAATTCTCAGCCAGAAAAAGATTTATCAACTTGGTTAGCTGACCAAAGAAGAAGGAACAGGTCCAGTTAAGCCAGAGTTGACAGCAGCAAGTTCTGTTAGGCTACTGCAATTTCCCAAACCTGGTGGAATACTTGCGCTAAATCTGTTATCAGACAAAACCAACGAGTTCATTTCTTTGCAGTTTCCGGAACCCAAAAGAATTTTGCCTACAAAGTGTTGCTACTGACGTCTAAGTATGTAAGGTGCGCAAGATTGTTCAGGCTTTCTGGCAAGTTCCAACTGATGGTTGTCGCTCAAGTAAATTTCTTGCAAGGTACTACAGTTTCCTATGGAAGATGGAATGGTCCCGGATAATTTGCTCCCGTGTAACCAGAAATTGACAATCTTGCTCATGTTTTGCACATTTGAAGATATGGTGCCACTAAGCTTATTGTTGTTCAAGTAAATGGATCCTATAGATGGAAGGGAACAAAGGGATTCTGGAATTGAACCATTTAGAAAGTTGCCATACAAGTTTAAGAATTGCAAATTCTTCAAGTTTCCGAGACTGAATGGTATGATTCCGGTGAAGCTGTTCAACGACAGGTCCAAGAACACCAGAAGCCTAGAGTTGCCAAGTTCTGAAGGGATTGTGCGGAAAAAGCTGTTCAAGGAGATATCAATTACTTCTAAGTGCCTCAGTGAACAAATGTTGGGTCCTAACTGACCTGAAATTCCAGAGCTGGAAAGATTCAGAGAGACCGCATGGCGACTATTGTTACCACATTTAATGCCGATCCATGAGCACGGATTGGGATCCGATGCATTCCGACTAGATTTTATAGGAGGAGGAATAACGGTCCAACGTTTTGAGAGGGATAATAGGACTGTCCCATCAGTGCCCAGAGCAGAAAGAACGTAGACTAATGCAGAGAAGTAGATAAATAGCACAAAAAGATTTAAAGAAGTCGCCATATATATGCAGAATTTGAAGGAAAACGAGCCAACCAAACCAAAAGGTTTATGCTCGCACAAGTGAGGAAGAGAATCAGAGAAATTTGCTGCAAAAGGGAAAGGAAAGATTTATTTACAGGAGGTATACGGTGACCTCAATGTGGTGCTGCAGAGGTACAGTGCTCAGGCAGCCATGCAGATTGACATGCAAGCTCAGACAACTTGGCTGCTCTTCAACGCTTTATGGCTGCTTGGTCGACGAAATAACATCAAACCAAGGAATAAATAATAAATCCTGGTTCTTTTGCCTGTTTTAATTCAACGCACTGGGGAGGAAACTCCTCTGCAAATTGATGGTTTTGAGAAGAAAACTGAGTAGGAGTACACAGAAGAATTCTGCATTATGTCCTTGTTCAATTGCTATTAAAAAACATGTACAATCAAGAGACTATGGCCATTACTAAAGCTAGTCACTGTTTGCATGGGCAACTAGGAATTAGTATAATCTTAAAGAGGCCGTGGATCAAAGTTCACTATCCTGTGGGGAATAAATAATTTGAACGCTTGTAGAAGTCTGTATGATAAATACGAAGATCTGTATTGATTGGGGTAAGTGAGGAATCAAGGTATCTTTAAAATGTAGCTTAGTTTAAGACCAAATTTGACTAACTAATAGCACTAGGCCCCATTCTGGGTGGATAATTTGCATGGGTTTCAGTATAGTTCACATGAACATGCTTTCCACGTCTGATTTTGTACTTTCTGGTAACATCTTTCTCGTTAATTATTGTCACCTATACACCCTAACTTGCAGAATATACTTCAATCTTGTTGCATTTTTTTGTCCCTTCCCTTAGAAGCATTTGTAAATGGAAACGCTTTGGAATTCTTTATGCATCATTCGTCTTGCTCTTTCATCTGATGGGCAAGCATGCGAACGTTAATTTGATGTTTGATTCATTTGGTTCATCCTTTCGTTGGAACCAGGCACTACTGCATAATCATTGTAGCAGAAGTAAATGCAGAAATAGCAAATCAAAATCATCCAAGACACAATGGAGTGGCTCTTGTGGCTCTGCCTACCGCTTTACTTGCTCTGGAATTTCCAGTCAGTCTCTCTTGGAAGAGTCTGACTTTTCTTGATCTTAGGCATAACATGCTTGAAGGACCATTGCCTCCTTCCATCTGCGATTCCGAAAACCTGAAGTATCTTCTGTTGGCTGAAAACAAATTGAATGGTACAAATTCCTCAATGCTTGGGAAGTTTTAGCAATCGACTCAAGGTGTTGGACCTGCAAAAGATTAGCTTCCGCGGGATGATTCCAACAACATTCAGACATGATAATCAGTTGAGGATTCTTAACCTGAACGGAAATCAATTGGAAGGGCCACTGCCACGATCTTTGATCAATTGCAAAAACTTGCAAGTTCTTGATGTTGGCAATAACAAGATTTGCGATGCACCCCTGTGTGGCTTGAAACTCTTCCAGAGCTACATGTTTTGATATTGAAATCCAACAGATTTCAAGGTCCTATAGCCACTTCTAAGACTAAACTCCCATTTCCCAAGCTGCGAATCTTCGACATATCTCACAATGAGTTCACTGGCATCCTACCGGCAGACCTTCCGAAGAACTTTAGAGCCATGACCAGCCTTGATAGCAGAAAAGAACTTGAATACATAGGAAATCGATTTTACTACGTAGATTCTGTGACTTTGGTGATGAAGGGCAAGGAAATTGAGTTTGTCAGAGTCCTCAAGCTTTTCACTGCGGTTGATTTATCTTCGAACAAGTTTCAAAGTGAGATTCCCAAGTCCATAGGAAATCTCATATCAGTCAGGTACTCAACTTTTCCCACAAACGGGTTGCAGGGTTCCATTCCTGCAACACTAGAGAGTTGACTGCACTTGAATCACTGGACCTTTCTTGGAAACAACTTCAAGGGGAAATTCCATGGCAGCTTACAAAACTAACCTTTCTTGCATTCTTCAACCTCTCCCAAAATCATCTTCTCGGACGCATTACTCTAGTGACTTAGCATTATGTGGATTTCCATTGAAAGATTGTGGAGAAATTGAGGCCGCACAATCACCTGCCAAGGCGGAAACATCGCAAAGAAATTGTTTTGGCATTCTTGGCTGGTTTCCTCGGGAATCAGCAGTCAGTGGACATTGCTTTGGTATGGTTGTTGGGCTATGCATTGGAGGCCTGCTATTTACTGGAAAGCCAAGGTGGTTCCTACCATCAGTTGCTAAAGACACGCATCAATGGTCAAGAAGTGGTGAAAGAATGAAAGATGATCTTGGACTGAGAGAAAGATTTCGTTGGCATTTGGCAGTCTATGCCAATCTGTGAACGCATAACACTTGCTGGATTTGTGGCCATAAACTAGGAAAACATGATTGAACGCCAGAAGATTCAACTATTTTGGCTTTGAAGTTGCAATCATCTGATTTTATGGTGAAGTTGGTGATCATGATTCTGGACAGGAGAAACATCATCCCACAGCTCAGACATCTTGAGCTCCTATCCTCAAGGATAAGTATAGAACTTTCTATATTTTGACATTTCCAAGAATCCATTGAACAAAACAATTCTATATTCAGATAAGAAATTTTGTTTCTTTTCTCCTTCAACCTATATTCACCGTATGAAATTTGTACTTAATTTGTCGGTCTACAATGGATCATTAATTATTTCTTCCACGGATCATATTATCACTAAAAAAGAATTACAGTAACCAACTCGAAAGATTTTCAAGTTAATGAAACTCTTTATGAGTATATACAAATTTTGTCAATCAAAGGGATGAATTTCCCAAATCATTGGCAGATTTGGTAGTAAAAATGTTCATTTCTGTGCCTTAAAACTTCCATCTTTTATAGTAACATTGCAACTATGAACTAACCTACAATAGTTGAATCAATGTAAATAACTTATAACAAAATTATAAACAACTTAAAACGCAACAATATTATTAATAGCATATAGTGAGAGTTGAAATTAGGTCTTTTACATTTTCTCAACCTTGAACACTAAATCGAAGCCTCATTCATTAACTAAATCTAAGCCTCATTCATTAACTTTAATCCCAATTTACTACAGTAATCCTGTGGACGGGCTTCCCTCGAAGAATGTAAACTGAATGCCCAAATTTTTGGTGCACTTTATATTTTGGCCGATTGAGGAGTACAAGATTTTCCCTTTGCTGAAAATTGAATGGTTTATGATCCGTTTTGAACTCGGAACGTGTCTTTGACTTTTGGCTTTAGTGTCAGGTGCACTCTTCCTGCAATTGTCACTGCAATCTTGTACCACGTATCTTGCTTCTGATCAAGAAGCAATAACCTAAATTATGCCAACACAATTATTTGACTTAAAATCCCTATCTTAAAATAGTGATAAAATTGATGTCAAAAGAAACCTAACTTGCAATATTGCCTGCCACGAGGATTCTGATTTAGACAAGACAAGTCAATAGGATTAGCTGTTTCTGAGAGTTTTTTTGAAAATTTTACTGTAACAGAGTTCTTAAAGTATATTTAGGGATATTTTTAGAAAATATTTTGGAATATTTAAGAGTAGTAGAATTTTTAAAATTTTTTTGGGATATTTTTTGAATATTAAAAAAAATTTAGACTACCTTTTAGAGTAACTTTTAAAGTACTTTTTAAAAATGTTTATAGTATTTGAAAAATTAGTTTTTGAGAAACTAATGGATCCAAACACACAGATGTTTGATAAACTAGTGAATCCAAACTAGTGTTTTGCATGTATCTAGATACAAAGATGACATATAGGCAGCGAATTTTTCTAGTCAGTTTATTATCTTTTGTCTTGGGGATGGTATTTGGCTGGTGATGCAAAACAATTGTAGATTGGTTGAATAATAATAATGATATTATATTTCTAAAAAATTACTAGGTGTAGCCTACAAAATCTCAGAATTTATTCAGTATGACGTGAACATGATCTGGTTGGCAGCATATAATCTAAATATATCCACCCTCCAAAATAGAAAATAGAAAAGAAAACATAAATAAAAGGGCCGTACAATAAGGATGCAAAAGGAAAATACATGGTAATATAGCATGTGTTCGTAGTGGGATTAGTTGGAGGTCAATTCTGATAACATTAGAATAGTCTGATTCAATTTATTAACAAACAAACAACAGAAAAGGTGGATTAGATGATTAAATCACTCAAGAGGTAATAAAACTGAGTGTGTAAGATAGTTTGAAAAAATTTCATAAAATAGGATGATAACACTACTCCTATTGGTAATTAATGCAATGTATCAGAGATCTTCATGTAATTTTCTTAAGGAAAAAAAAAAAAAGCCATTGACAAATGTATTTATAATATGACGTTTGTTTTTTCCTTTTCTAAATAATAGGCTATCCAAACAAACTTGCAATTTCGTTTTGAAATTTCTGCTGTCCATAATAGATACATGGCGAATTGCAGATGACATATAACAATGGTTGAAATGCGGAAAATTTTTTGAACGTGCAACTTTCAATTGTTGAACTGCATATAGCTTGAATACATTTTGGCAGGATGAAAACTGGTCAAGTTAGACTACTGTTTCTTTCTCATACTACTACTAATGTGCAAATCGAAGGCAATGATCCGATCTTTGAATTGACTCGAAGATGCGTAGTTTTTATCTGCCAATAAACAAGTAATGGTACAGCGGAGCGGATAATGTCAGGATAATGGCGTTCAACAGTTACATACAATTTTTAAATAATATTAAAGAATACTATATTTGTCACCTACATTATTTTGAAGCTCAAACGACACTAAAGTATGTTATGAACATGATGGTACTGCTTAATGACAGACAGTAGTATTTTTAGGATAGGACAAAAATCTCAGTGACCATTAAACTATTACTCAAATCAATTTTTGACTATCAAACAATTTTTCGTCACAAATTGATCATTAAACTAACTAATCAGCACACCCGTGGCCATTTCATGGATTTTGGCTCTTAATCTACAACATAATTAGAATGCATAAGGGTATTTTTGTTCACTACTAAATGTTAATTATATTGGATGAATTTTGGAGTTGTGAAAATACATACATTTAATTCCGTTTATGTGGAAAGAGGAAGGGGGTATAGCTGTTGCCATCAAGAAAACTAAAATGAGCTTTTTTTGTTGGAAATTGACGGAGCAAGGGAATATGGCCGAGTTAATGGTGGATAAAAGTAGCCCTGGCCGTTTTGATTATTTTGTAGATTAAGAATCGACGATTGTGCTGATTAATTAGTTTAGCAGCCAATTTGTGATAAAAAATTATTTGACGATCAAAAATCAACGCGAGCGATAGTTTAATAATCGCTAAGTTCTTTTACCGTAAAGAATGTTTGTCACCTATAAGTATATTAGTGGTTTGAAGCAAACGACAGTAAAGTAGATTATGGATTTGATGGCTGTTGCTTAAAGTCTACATTTCTATAAGTCTTAATAATATCCTAATGGTGTATTGATTGTGAATATTCTTAATGCCCCGCAGACCGCCATCCCAGGACTGCCTCATGCAGTTCCTGTCCTGCTTCGAACGCTTTAAAAAAAAAAAAAAAAATTTAGCATACCAAATAATTGTTCTTTAATTGGATTCCAACCAAAAAAAAAAAAACAATTCGAAAGGACAGGCCGGCTGAAAATTGTCATCTTTTGAATTCTAGTTGGGACACTATATCTGATTAGACGCATATTAAGATTAGTTTATAGCCTACCAGTACCACACAACTCATATGACCGACAAGAGATTAGTTTACAAAAAATTTGTTATAGAAACTGATTATGAGAATCAACAAAAAAAACTAAAAAACTAGTCTTCATGTGATTATAGATTTTAGTTTTTTTTTTTACCATTAAAAAAGTCTATAACCAGGATACAAAAACAATCGAGAAAGTTATAAAAATTGATTACCTAAAATGAAACCTGCAACTGCAAAGCACAGGGCCAGAAGCCGTCAAATTAACAAATGTACTCCTAATAGAAGGGCTGCGGTACAAAGGCAAGCAGACAAAACTCAAGAGTCAGTCATACTGCATAGGAGAAAAGCTGGCTACCAAAAACAAAGGAGAGAGAGAGAGAGAGTCCAACAAAAGGATACATCCAAATCCATTTACGAAAGTTTACAAGGTCCAGAACATCTTAGATGGTTAATAAGCAAATTATTTCTTCTTCACTCCCGAGTCCCGTCTTCATCAATTGTCCACATACATTTGTATTTCTCTGTTTCTTCTTCTTTTTACTGTACCTCACTTTCCAGCCGTCATAATAGTAGTAATAATTTTCTTCCAACGCCCAACCTGACAAGTGACAGCCACCGGTGCTTCTACCGCGGCCACAACATTCCCACCTCCATCCATCCTTCTTTATTGTTAGGCCGAGTTTTGGAGTTTGGAGGAGAAAGCTTAAAGGAGAGTATGAAAGAAGAGGAAAGATAATTAGGTTCGTTTATATTGCTATTTTTTGAAACTTTTATAGATAATGTACAGTAATAATTTGATATATATATATAAGAAAAGAAATTGATTGAAAAATATTTTCATAAAAGGTGAAAAAATTTTAAAAAAAAATAACTTTCCAAACAAACAAGATGAAACTAAAAAAAAAAAAAAGGATCATCACTATCATGATTTAGTATTAAATATCCATTCGGTGATTATATATGTGTAAACTTGACATTAGAAAAACTGTGGCCTTGATTGCAATGCTGTTATTTTCTAAAATTTATTTTTTATTTTTTGTGAACATATTTTTAAATTATATTTTTTTACTTTATATACATCAAATTATTACAGTATATTTTTCTATAAAAATTTTAAAAAATTACAATTCAAATATATTCTAAATCACTTACAAGTTCTTGAACTAAAGGTCACTTACGGCCAATATTCGACCACCTTCATGTAGACAATAAGATTCAAATACACTTACTATTATCTCTTTATTTACAAAATGTATTGCTCCCTTCTTACCAATCTACGTAACCGTCTCTCTCCAAATCATTTTATCCAAAGTAAGTCGGCCCGTGAGGTTGTTCCTTCGAGGCAATCGAGTTGGAGAGCTGTAAAGGAAAGTCTGCCCCGACGCTTTTGCACTTCTCCAGCCTCATCAAAGTACAGCAGACCAAACCAAACCACCTTTTCCATTTTCAATAATCACAAAAAAATCATCAGCATCATTTGACTTGAAACATTTTAATTACAGCGTAAATACTCTTTCTCTACCCTTTAAAGCTTTAAACCCCAACCTCAAAAAAACCTCACGCCGGAAGTCTACGCCTCCATCAAATGACTCAAATCCCTCCTTTTCCAATTCAGCTTCTT